CATTCCTGATCAAGGTTCTGTATTTCCTAGAAATTTAGCTGATGCAATTATTTAAGCATCCCAACTAAATACTTAGAAAAGATATTAAAAGGTTTGTTAAATGAATTCCCTATTGATTCTCTACTTCTTCTGAGTTATCATACCATTCACTGTGCAGATTTCAAAGAGTAGATAAAACCTCAGTTACTGAGTTTGGTCAGTTTCATTTTATTGGCATCAGGTTTTGTAGTAGATTCTAAGAAATGGTTTGAAATAGTAGCAAGACTGGTTGAGAGACAGGATGGTTGATATGAATTACATGGTTGTCACTAGCTCAACTTTTATCATCTTCTAGTTTGGTTGTTTAACTCTTGCCTTGTTATTGTATACATTGTTTAAAGAGCTATATTTTTTACATACATATAAGTCCTTTATAAAATTTTGCTGGGTTTTTTTTCAAGATTTAGCTGTTGCCTTCATTTAGATAGACTTATAACTGCAGCTTGGTTGATTAAGAAGGTCTCTCAATTTCACATAACTGCAAGCAGTTAAGGCTATTACTTTTACTGTTGCTTTATAATGGTATCCCAAGCAGGCGGTTCATGGATGGTTTGATGAGTCCTCTATTTTAGACAGTCACCTACATACTCCTTAGCTGAAAAATCACCTGATAAATGAGAGACAGAACTTAAAGATTCACTTAATTTTGAATTTAATTCTTCTGTGAATTACTGCTGTTAGCTGAAATTTCTCCTGCATTTCAATAAATGTGTGATAACATTGCTTAAATGGTTTCAATTTTTAATATTCTCAAGTACTTTTTCCCCCCATTAGCTCTCTCTCTACATGGATAAGTTTGAAGAATTCCAGACCACCATGGCAAAAAGTAATGAACTTTTTACAACTTTTAGACAAGAAATGGAAAAGGTACTTGTACTACTTAAAGTTTCCATGATAAGTGCTACAAAAAATGCATGCTCCTTAGATGGGTAAATGCAGTTTTAAAATATAGGCTGTAGCTACAGAAAGTGTTACATAGCATATTAGAATTACATCTGCTACTCTTTTTAACGTTGAAAGCAAAAAATGGAACAAAATGTTTAAAGATGAGATTGTGCGCAGTACTCTGTTGCAGTTTGTTTTTTTTTTTGTTATTGGAGAAGTTTATCTATAATTGTGAGGGAGGCTGAAAATCACCTGGTAGCCACCATAAAATATTTACTTGGTGTTTTGAGATCTTTAAATATATTCTTAGCTCCAGTGTTTGCAACACTTGAATAATTTCATTTTGTAATGTTGCTTTCAAAGCTGCAGAGCTAGCTATTTACAAAAAAAAGTTTTATTATGTGGTCACCTACAATTTATTGGTAGTCACAAGCCAAGTCACTTTACATTTATTCTTAGATGACCAAGAAGATTAAAAAACTGGAAAAGGAGACAATAGTATGGCGTACAAAATGGGAAAACAACAACAAAGCTCTTCTACAAATGGCTGAAGAGGTGCGTAATTCTCTTTGAAGTTTGGGAAAAAGTATAGTTGTCACTGTCTCTCTTCATGAGGGATGTCTAGCTGGAGATTACTGAGAAATGGCACATACCAAAGTTTTGCCCTGATGTACTTTCATTAGTCTCTCCCTGTGAAAAGCTTTCTCTGAGTAACAATACCATTATTTTCCTTGGTGTACAAGAATGAATTGATTTTTCCATAACTGCTATTCATGACACTTGACTGACCTTTATATACCTACCTAGTCAAGCCAAGCAAATGCTTGAAGAAACTTAGTAGAAGTTTACCTTGCCTTTTGCATATTACGTGGAATGCTGTTGCAGAATTGGAAACACTTGAGTATACTTAATGCTGTAGAAGATGCAAAATTGGTATCAATCTGTCAAACAGAACTTAGACAGTGGTGTAACAGTTCCTGCTTTACTGTGCAATACTGACCCAGAAGAATTACTGAGGGGTGGGAGGGAACAGGTTACGGGTGCCAGTAGGTTTGTAAGGGACTAAAATTTTCTGGGCCCTAGTCATTGTGACTAGTTGCACACTCCCATTTTCTACTTTTTTTTTTTACTGAAATATGTATTAAGAACTTTTTAATTAGTTACAAAACTTGCTAAACTACTGATGGGAGTTGGTGTGGGTTCAGCTATGGACATTGGTAGGTAGTCTTTTCTCTTGTAAAAGTCACTATACAACTGGCTGGATTCTAAGAGATTCTAAACCCAACTCCTGTAACCATGGTCTCCAGGAAGAATTAATTTTATGACTGATTTAGTCTCAGTTAAGCGCTTGTTCAAAATTGGCAGTGATGTAGCACTTATTGTCAGGTCAACAGAATGGCTTGTTACCCCTTCCCAAGGTTCCTGTTCTGACCAGATAGCCTGAGAGAGTTTGTGCTGGATCACCATTTCAGTGAATTAAACAGGATTTAATCTCCAAGAAAGTTAACCTTAATGCATTTTAATGTGAAGTACGCTGGCAAAATACTCACCTAACTTGATGATATAAGGCCTGTGTTTTACTTTTATCCCTCAGAAAACAGTAAGAGACAAAGATTACAAAGGCTTTCAAATAAAGCTGGAGCGTTTGGAGAAGTTATGCAGGGCTCTCCAGACAGAGAGAAATGAGCTGAATGAGAAGGTGGAAGTCCTTAAAGAACAGGTTTTGGTAAGAGATGCAGATGTGGATCTAGCAGTGCAGGTGTTTCAGTCATGCGCACACAGTTCCCAGGAGGAGCTGGGAACTTGCACTGACACAGAACCAGGAATCCAGCCAGATGCTGAATCAAGTGCAGCAGTTGAAGGACATGTCCCTGAAAAGACTGTCTCCACGAGTCCTGTTCCTGGCACTGATTCTGTTGACTAAAATGAAGTGTAAACACTGTATTGAGAGATATATTTTGTGTATAACTTTCTCTGGTGGTGGTAACTATTGGTTTTGTGGTGAAAATTTTCTTACTTTTTCTACCATATCTGTATTTTCTTAGAACTACTGGACTTATGTGGTACAGGAAGCTGCATAGCAGCTTTGAATAGCTTAATCTATAAATTTCCCACAACTGTGTTGCACATCTGCCTCATTTTTAAAAAAATATTTTTCCATAAAGAATGCATGTGTGTGTTTTCCCCTACAACACAAAATATCACTGTCAACTAAGACGTGTGTAAAGATTTAACATAGCTTCAGGGGAAAAAGTGACAGGAGTGTCACTTCCTTGATTTGAAAAATAACATTTTGCTTCTGTTAACTGAGCTTGAGGCTTGGTATATACTAATATTATTACCAAATTCAGTAAACTGTCTACATCCATTCATATAATGGCCAGTAGGAAACTTCAGCTTTCTCCCCTGGTATTTTCATATATATGAGGTATACATGAAAATAAGGATCCAGAATGTGGTCAAAATATTTTACAGGGTTTTAGTGTAAACTGTGGCATGACAACAACAGCTTTGAAATATCTATATTTTAATTTGCAGTTGGTAAAACAGGGTGCACAACTATTTTTGCAAATTTCTCAGGGTTGTGCTGTAAGGTCAGTTCAAGGCCCTATTTGTGAATTTAAACCTATGAAGAAAATATGTGGAATAAGTATTACATAACTGCAGAATTTTGTTCAATAATATTAATTATGCATAAGAATTGGTTATATTCTGCCCCCCTTCCATAAGGTCTTGGCCCTGTTGCGAGTCCATGCAAGATTTGTTTCCAGTGAGAGAAGTTGCATTGATATAATCTGGATATTTGTTAACCAAAGGGTATCTGCAAATGTGTGGACAGTGTTGATGTTGACTATATCTGGGGCATGTCTATGTGAAACACTGATTGTGCAGCAGCCAAATAATACTGCACACTAGCACGTCACAGCACTAAGTGATAATACACAACTGTGTGGTATTACTAGGCTACTGCACAGTATCGTCACTTAGAAGGCCGTTACTGGTGCTACTGCACCGTAACCACTGCGCATTACCATCTCGTGTGGACGCACCCCCAGTGTAAGTTTTTGGTTTGAATGTTCCTTACTTAGCACTATATGCAGAATCTAAGAATTAGTAGACAATGCTGGTAACTGACCACATGTATTCAAATATTCTTTTCCCTGAGTAAAACATTTATTTTGTTGCACCCTCAGCCAAGAAACTCTAGTCAGCAGATAGTGCCTTCTTGGTGCCTAGGATGACTTGGTGAAGTCTGGTTCTTTAGAAGTTCCATCTAAAGCTAAACATGCCACAAGCAGAGGGGAGGTTTTGGGGGGTGGGGAGAGGGGGGTTCTTTTTAAAAAAATTTAATAGACTGCAGTTATAAGCCTTATGAGTTTTAACTTTGAAAATGTGGATATCGGAAATTTTAAGGGAGCAGTTTTCTAAGACAACTTGGGACCAACACGTATTCTTGGCACAGCAGACAATGTGTTAAGTAACCACCAGCTACTGTTAACTTTAATCCATCTATGATTGCTTTCTCGTTTCAGTTGCTGTCTTGTAATTCTTTAAAAAGAAAAAAAATGTGTAGCCTTTCCTGGTACTCAAAATGTTCTTTGCACTTACTTGAGTGGGGGTTTCTGAACCAAGCACATATCTTTCCATGAGCTTCCCCCTTGTTCTTTTTGACAGTTTATCGGCTAAATTACTTGAATGTTCAGGCTGCACTGAGCTCTCGACCCTTTTCCTGATGTAATGTACATGGAAATAATGTAGATGTCTCTTTAACAGAGTGAGGTTTTATAAGGTGTGATGATAAATGTTTTAGCTCGTACCACTGAACAAAATGGTATCAAACTGACATTTTTTAAATCGTGTAGCAGATGAGTAGCCTAAATAGGTAACAGGCTGTTTGGCGGGGCTGGTGGGGTTGGGATTTAGGGGTTTCCCCTTCCCACTCCCATATTTGCACAGCCTGTCTTTGGTCATGGTGCAGTAATGAAAAGAAGGTAGAAGGGAGCAGTCAGCAGGGTTGGATTCAAAGCTAAACACTAATCACGTTCTAGCCACGTGGCAACAAAAATGCTGTAAAAGAAATATCCTTTCAGAGTTCCTTTGACAAAACGTGTCTGTTGTGGAGTCAAGAACGTTCTAGTAAGTTTTAGTTAGTGCCAAAAGAGACCTTTAGCTAACAAACTACATGAGCATGAAACAATTTTCTTGAGGGCAAGTGAAAATCTCAATGTATTAAATTACAGCACAACATATGCTTGGCAAAGCGGATAGAGATTTTGCCAGTAAAATGGGAAGTGCAGTTTTCTGTTTTTCACAATGTATTATTTGGTCGCTTGTATCTATAACCACAACTCTTTGTACCGTGCTTGTGCAGTGCTCTTTATATAGGCAAAAGTAAACTGTGGACCCTGTTGCAAGTATTGTTTTTTTAAAAGGGCTTGACAGAAATCTCAGATGAATGGAACAGCAATACAAATACAGGATAGTTACTGACTTGATTTGCAAATGAAGCAGAATGCCACCAGAAAAAGGCTTGTAAGAATCTGAGATGTTTTTCCATCTGTCTCACCCAGAAGATTCCCACATTGACAACCTTCCTTCTGGCCAAGGTGGGCTAGACTCTGCTTCCTGACACCAGATAAAATCATTCCATGCATTAGCCAAAGGGTTGTTGCTATAAAGGAGGCAAGGAATAATCCAAGCACTCAAAACTCTGATCTGCCATACAGCAGGCTATTGCACTGCCACTCCGCAGCCAGATTGGTTCCAGTAGGGGTTTGGGTAAACATGTATATTGCCTTTCTTCCTCTACCATAAATTATTCTAATCTGGACTGTAAATGTATGTAGCCTCTGATGTATACACCTACTTAATCAGGCACTGGAATCTTGATCATTTTACTCCAATTAAACCTGCAGAAAAAAAAAAGTTTAAAATTTGTGTGTTGCAAGACCCAAACATGTAATAATGTACACATTGACTTTAGGGCTGTATCTCCAATCTGTGTTGTCCTTTCTTTATTTCACTTACACCTGGTTATGTTACAGTTCAATTCTCAGGTGTTGCAGAAAATCTACCTCTTCAGACTGTAGATGGAAATAACTGTGAAAAAAGTGATGCAGAAATCTAGTTTGTGCTAAACACACTGCTTTATTTTTACAACCCATGTCTGCTTTCATGAGGAAAAAATTGATAAATGAACAGGCAGTCTTGTTTTGCTTTTCAAAAACATTTTGTAGAGATTTTTCACTAATGTGAATCTGAAATTTTATCTACTCAATTCTGTATAGATTAAGTAAATATGTATGCTTAATATATTGGACTCTGTGTGTTCCTTTTATTCTTAAACCCTATTCCTGTCTACCTGGGCTTCTGTGGCATTTGTGCAGGAGTTTTGAAGCATGATAGCTGAGAAACTCATTGTTCTAGTTAAATGCCAGATAATCAAACAACAGCCTTGAAGTTGGAGTGTCTGTAAAGCACAGAATTGCTACTGTTTTTAATAAAATTCTCTGTGCAATGCTGAATACACATTTTGGAGGTCCAGCAAGTTAGAGCAGCAGGATGTGTTTGCTTTGGCACGATAATGAAGATGTGAAGATTTACAGATTTAGGTTTTTAATTCATTTATTGAAAAGAAGTTTATCCTCTTCCATTTCTTCCTTGTGTACCAGTAACTATTTAGTAAGCTGTGTGCTACTTCCTGTGTGACAGAGGGATTGGCCTTAATACCCCGCTGTGCACTGCCTTCGTACTATCTCAGGTCCCTGGGTGAGGCAGTATCTTGAATCATCTGTTGAAGGCTACCAATTTCATCGGTGCTTGCGTGATAGAGAAATGTTCCTGTCCAGTGGGCTGCTTCTGCTGCATTAGCACCTAAAATGTTTTGTTCCAGGCACAAGCATTATGCAGTTTCTGAACAGCGTACAGTACTTGTTCAAAAGTTCTTTCCTACAACTGGAAGCTTGAACTAATGAAAAGAACAGAGGCTGGGTCCCTTGAGTTAGTCTTCTTCAAAATTCCCACGCTCTCCATTTCAAAGAAATGAAGAATCAAAGTCACAGGCTAGCATATATGGGTCTCATGGAGAGTCTTCCACAGGTAACTGCTAAAAATTGTTAAAATAATTTCATCCAAATATAGAAATATTGTACAATATGAACCACAAACAAGTCAGAACTATAGCATGACCTGAAATGATTATGTTTTTTTTTTCTCATGTTTTAAATCCTGCTTTTGATCAAATAGTTCCGTGTTCCTTAGGGATTTGCATATTCCCTTTAGACTCAAGCAAATTTCAGTTTCTTCCCTCTGCCATAGAGGCCTTATGGTTTGTGTTAGAAGCAAATTAAATATAACCCTAAAAATGCAACTTTGCTCTTGTGTCCATGGCCAAGCTAGTTTATGGGAAGTCATGCTGTCATAATTAAAAATAAACATGTGACCTAATCCCTGAAGAGATGAAACCTTGTCTCAGTGGTTAAATTGCTAGCTGTTCATCTTGGGAGCAAGTTGCAACATCAGACTGCATGAGATTTGGGTTTTGTTTAGATGAGACTACCTGCCTTTGCCACACTGCTTTGCAGCTTCTTAGACCAAACCCCTCAGCTTACTTAGCCTTCTATTATTGCTTTACAACCTCAAAATGATTAAGGATGCTTGTTGCTCAGGAAAGGACCCAAGCAGAAGCTCCCAGACCCTCTTGTGTTATGGTTGGAGGCAAAAGTCTAGCAAGTTCCGATTTTGAGTTGCAGGAACCTGAATGTCTATGAAACCGTTGCATTTGGTTGTAAAAGAGCCACTGGAGCATGGACCTCATGCATAGCTCAAGTAGACAAGGAGCATCAACCACTGCTCAGTTGCTGGTTGTGCTACAGCTCCATACTTGAGCTGAACAGGATCTTGTCAGCATCAAACTACTGTCTATATCTGATTGGGAAGCAGTTCTCTATGCCTGGGGTCAGCAACAGCTTGAGCTTGGAAGTTGAAGAGGTCGCCGAGGCATAGCTTTGCCAGCCAGAACCCCAAGAATTTGGTTAGAGACTAAGGCTGAGCTAGCTTACCCCATATCAACCTGGTGGATGGATCCATATGCAGGAAAAGAGGGTACCCAAAAATGCAGTGAACCATTTTTATGTTGTGCCTTGGGACTGTCACTTGGGGCAGGCGTAAGTAAACACTCCCTCCATAAGCTGCTCCTTATCTTATGAAGAGCTCAATGGCTAAGATGTGGGTGTGGAAGTTATCAACCTCCATCAGAGCAATACTACTTGGTTCAAGCAAGGATCTTTGAGAGTCCAGTCAACTTCAACATGCTGGCAGCAACCCTGCTGTGATGGACTACAGTTTATGTATAAACAGAACACTGACAAGGCAGAGTTTATGTTCCAATTCTGTTAAAGCAATGCACCTCTAGGGCTACTGGCAGAGAGAGAGCAAGAAACAGAATTTACATTGCCACTGGAAGCACTAAGATAAATTAAAGCAGGCTTGCTTGTTCACATACATACCCCTGATATGTCCACATCCTCTTCTTCCACCCCCAGCACAAGGATGCGTGCCAAAGCCAGTACTAACACCACCAGCTCACCCTTGCAAATCATGAGCTACTGTGGCACAATTAAGGAGTCCCTTTCAAAAAGATGGCTAGCCACTCAACCCCAGGTGCTAGGAGATTTACCACAGTCAGGGGCTCCGGCGATAATCTCCCTACAGTTTGTAGGAAGTTAAGGCTTAATCTCAGACCATGGAAGCAATGAACTGCTCATTATGTTTCTTGCCTTTTGGGATCAGCATCCTTGTCCAAGCTAGCCAGTAGACCCTAGCATATGTTAGGGGAAGACGGGACACGCACTCATCCTTAGAAAGTCTTATGATCTTATGTGCAGGGAAAAAGTACTTTTTTACATTGCTGTAAGCCTTATGAACAGGAACATCGGATGTGGATGGCTAACTGGCAACGGACTGAGCTGTTGGGGTTGCCAGGTTCCTTTAAGCTGGTGTCACATGCTTCTGAGCCTCGTGTTGGTGATGTGCATCTGCAGCTCTGGCTAGCTCCACCCAGGCTTCCAGGAACATGGCTGCCTTTGCCCTCAAGTGCTCCCTTAACTTGTGGCCATCTTGTCTGCAGCCTAGGCCTCTCCACACTTGTTTCCCATATCTGGAATCAGTGGGTCATATGCTAGACATGGTCCCAGGCAAACCATCCTCATTTATCACCTGGCTAGCTTCACCTTCAGGTGCACATCTGCTATCATGCGAGAGTAGGCTGCAATGATCTGTCAAATGTGCAACCAAAATAGTCGTTTCAGGCCTTTGGTGCTCAGTCTGCCACAGCAAAATTTGCAACTGCTTGTTGACATGGCTGGGTAATTGCAGTTAAGGGCACACCATGATGGGAAGATGGCTAGATTGTTGCTATCTGGCAAAGTTAGAGAGAAAGATAAGAGGTATCTATGCTGCTGTCCTTGTAGGAGTTGCCAAGTGAATCTTTGGGCTTTTTTCACTTGACCTACACAAATTAAATTCCTAGTATCCCTCTCCAAATGTTGCACTTCACATTGGGGGACAGAAAGCTACAAAGGACCCTGAGGTACTATTGGTGCCACTTGTGGTATAACCCAACCCATGTTAGTAACCTCATCAGCAACAAAACAAAACCCAGCCTGCTTATTCTATGCAACTGCCCCAATGGCATTTGCTCAAGATTTAATAAATTAACTGCTGCCTCATTTCTGCAGCTACATTGGTCTCAGCCTTCTTCACTGTTGATCCAAACCAGTGATGCTCAATCTTCCACTCCATGGGCTGGATGAGTAGGATCAGACTGTGGCTCAGATCCCACAGGATCAGCACATGAGGTCAGTCCTCAGACACAATCTCACACACCTGGGTCCAGCCATGCACCAGACCAACCCCACATACTGAATGAGGCTGCACACCATCCTGACCCCACACATCTGGATCTGCCCCTGTAGTGACCCCAGGTTAAGGCAGGGCTGCACTATCCAGCCCCCAGGGCTCCCCCATGGGTTCAGAAATTTGGCAGCACCACTCCTTTCCCTGCCAAATTTCCAAACCTGTGGGGGGTCCTGGGAGGCTAATGTGACAACGCTGCTGGCCAGATCTATAACTCAACACTTTCAGAATACAAACCAATGATTTGTCTAAGTTAGACATCAGAACATGTAGGCTCTTTCATCATGTTTTACATGCAGAGTATATTCAGATAATGCAAAACAAAGGAATCAACTGCAAAATTCTCCGCATTGACAGTGCAGTCTGCTTAGGGATGAAAAGGCATATTAAAAATATGGTCCATGTAAACCCACCTTCACCCACTACAGCTCTTGAAAACTAGTTGTTTCTCCACTTCTCTAGTATATAACTGACAAGTTATCTATTTCTATCACATGCCCAATAGGGGTGGGGAGTAATCCTTGTTCATTATTCTTACCTGATCTTAAATTTTGAAATTTACTGTAATTGATGCACTGTTTTTCAATTGTTCTGTTTGCATGAAGAGATTTTTTTTCTTTTATTAGCAAGTCATTGTTAGCTTTGTATTCAGTTGCTTATCCTATATTCCACCATTCTCTTTCTACATCATTTGATGTTACCTTTCAGGTGCTGGAGCCGTTTATTTAGGCCGTGGGGCTAAATAGGGAAACATCAGCAAGTTAATCCTGCCTGCAACAAGTGTACCTTGTTTTTTGTACAAGAAGTACCTTTAACACCAACAATGTATTTGGAGGAATGAATAAAGCTGCTGGTGACATGGCTTTACATAGCTATGCAACACAGAAACCTAAAGCAGTGTTAGAAGCCTCTTGACTTCTGTCTGATTAGGTATTACTGCAACTCCATTTGTCCCATATTCTAGGGCTCCATAAAAATGAACAGAATGACCATGCAGTGTTAAGTCTTCGAAACAGACATTCACTCTGTACACTTTTAGCCGTCTGTCATTGGGCAGGTATTAAATTACTGAAAGATTAGCTTCCACTTGTTACAGGGCAGAGCATGCACATAAGAAGCTATCACAGCACAGCTGATGCACAACAAAATCCCTTGTTATTTTGCGGTAAGATAATGTGTACATACCCTTAAGATCCCCAGACATTCCAGTGCCTTTCACAGTTGCCAGGTACAGGGAGTCACTTATCCCGCTCCACGCAGTATTCTGGCATAAATTAGTAAAATGTGTGACCAATACGTTGTTAGACCACTTCATTTTCTGTTGGGGTAAAACAGTCTGGTCTTCAGCAAATGTCGGTTACAACAGAAGCTCTGTACACGGTTCTCAATAAGGCTTTCCTGAAGAACCCTATTTACTTATATTCTGGCAATTGCCACAAATCAGTGGGATAGAATATAATTTAGTGCCAGGGTGTCTAATTAATTTGGCCAAGCAGGCTACTGACATGTCACTGGAAGTTAGGATGCAAAGCCTACCACAAAATCCAGTGCTTCAGGCCCCAGCTGACAATGCAATCACCAGCAGGACATAGTTGGTCACCCTCTGCAAGGTAGTTTTATCCTGAAAAGGTTACATACAACCAAACTGTATGTCTACTCCACTTTTATTACAGGGGAAAGTTTGTTTACTTTGTAGTAAATGTCACGTCTCTGATTAAATAATTTAAGATGATTTTTAAACTGGGTCTCCAACATGTGAAATAATGAAAGTAGGTCAAAATTTCATGCTATAAAATAAAGCAGAATTTCTACTAAGCTTAGAATTTTCCAGTTCACTGTTTAAAAAAAGAAAAATCACAGGCCCCTAGATTTGTGCGGTTATATTATAAAACCAACTGGGTTTAGGCATTGATTGCAAAACTGAATTAGAGGCTATGGCAAAGGACTAATCTTGAATATAGCATATTCAGAATATTACTTGACTACAAAAGTAAAAGCATGACCATTATGTCCATATCATCAAGCCAGATGCAACATGTTATTTGAAGTATTTAGCTTCACAAGCTAAATACTGCTCCTAACCATAGACATATCTTCTGTGAAAGGATATTCATATAATAGAAGTAAATCCTATTTTTAGATGAGGGAGGCCCCCCCACCCATTAAAGCTTAACTTTACTGGAATAAGATTTGATACTTACCAAATCTTAACAGATTTCAATTAAATTATTTTGGTCTCTATTTTAAAAGGGACTCCAGGTCTCAAATCTTGGTTTCTCCACTTAAGACTCAAGGTTGTTTCAATTTGTTTTGCAACATTTCACTACAATAAGGGAAACTTTTGCCTTTGTATTTGTTGGCCTTTTGAAAATGTTAAGAATGTTCTGTTACCACATCTTGCATTCATAAACAGATATCATGTTTAACCTTTGGACAATTACACTATTCTAAATAGGAGTTGGGTGAGTTGCCTGCTTCCTTCCCCCCCTGAAAGAAGAAACAACCACTTTTTGGTACTTGATTATCAGGACTTGAAGGATGAACAGGGAAACAAAAAACACATCTTCCCTCAGACAAAATGTTGTTTCAAGCCGTTCATTTTGCCATTTACAACTTGCCTAGTTCCATTCCTGGCCAGAAAAACAAAAGCCTCTCATACCCAGTCCTCATCGCTTCCTTGCCCCTGCTACAGCAGATTGTTCAAGGCAAAGATTGGGCTTATAAAT